GGGGGCTGCTTCATTAAGCCTTTCCCTCTCTCTTTCTCTCTCTCTTTTTCTCTCTCCCACTCTCTCTTTCTGTCTCTCCACCTCTCTCCCCCCCAGCGGCCCCTCCTCACGCGCTAGCAGGACTCTCCCTCCACTCTCTGTTTTCTCTCCCTCCCCTCTCTAACTTTGTTTCGTCCCGAAAACAAACTTCATCTCATCGTACTGATCTTCTCCAGAAGCTCCGCCGTGTTCCGGGCAGACATGGTCGCGGTGAGGCCGGGCTCCGGGTTCCTGAGCACCGCCTGTGACAGGTAAGCTTAGCGGGCTTTCCGTCACTTTTTTTCGGACTCGACGCGAACAAGGCTCCCTGTGTGCGGAGCGGAGGATTACTGAGCTGTCTGCGGTTAAATTCACTTCACTGTTTCACTCCACTACCCGTAGTCATATGAAGTAATCTTTAACTACTCTTTATAATGTATCCGACAGACCGGATGAAGGGAGAGTGTGCATAAAGTGTGTAAAAGGTGAAGCAGGGTCTCAGTGCCATGAAGGCATCCTCTCCGTGGAGGAGGAGGCTTTCTGTGGGAACAAACCTAACAATACCAGAGGTGGAAGAGGTATTCACATTCTTAACTTGAGTAAAAGTAAAAGTACCAGAGTTTAGGATTGGTATATTAATAATAAAATTCCTGCATTCAATGTGTTGCTCAAGTAAAAGTATTAGCATCAACATTTAGTTAAAGTACCAAAGTAAAAGTAGTCATTGTGCAGATTGGTCCATTTCAGAAAGAAGCACTCATAACAGCAAATTACAGCAACATTGCTGTGACTTAATTTATTGTGAATCCACTGGTGGTTTTATTTACTTAAATATAATGTTGCAGGATTTCATCTACCGAATAATCATATTTAGTGCTACATTTGCTTCCAAAATGTAGTGGAGTAGAAGTATACAGTAATATAAAATGAAAATACTTGGATAAAGTACAAGTACCTTAAATGTGTACTTAAGTACAGTACTTGAATAAATGTACTTAGTTACTTTCCTCCACTTTATAAAGTCATCTTTAGCTACTTTTTGTAAATGTATGTGACAGACTGGATGAAGGGAGAGTCAGCATAGAGTGTGTAAAAGGTGAAGCAGGGTCTCTATGTCGGGTGACAATTCATACATTAATCTGTCATAATTGAATTGCTCTGCATTTTTACGAGTGGTCGTGGAAAGGCCTGAGGCAGGGACTCATCGTGAGTCAAGTCTGCATCGCTCTGGGCAACACAATTACACCTCGCCTCTTTCTACTCATCTCACCATGTCCTTGAGATACGTAGACAGTAGCCAACATCACAGCCGAATCAGAACTCAGTCCAATAACAGGAGCGAACGCAGCACACATTGAGTACTATTGTGTAATAATAATATTAATAATAATAATAATAATAATAATTCACTAAGAGTGATGTCTCACTTCCTGTACCATCTGTGTATGTTTGTTTTTACAATGAAACATCAGACTGATGTACTTGTACTTTAATGTGATTGAGTGTATGCAAAACATTTTTTAATTAATTCTGAACCAAGGAGAGGTATGATTATTAGTCCTTATTTAATACCTATTGACACATTCCCATACTCTTTTAATACTTCTACAATGAGGTTTGACACTCTTCCCTATAAAAAGCTTTCTTCATCACTTCTTTAGTACTGTAGTCCTTGCATTGTGGGGGAACATGTTCAGCTTCATTTGAAAAGGAATATCAATTTAGGGCTGCAACTAAGATTCATTATATTATCCACTTCTACTCTTGATGCTATATAATACACACTTAGAGTATATGCTACAGTAGTTAAGAAAATAGTCGTTAAATAAGGACCTACGATTTAGTGTAAAACAAAGCATGTTAGTGTGAGATGGATAAGATGAGGTTTCAATCAGACTGACAGGCTTTCTCAGTAAAAATAGATCCTCCTGACACAGGCGCAGCTTTAGGGTGATAAATGAGTCCAGAGCTGTCCACCATCCTCATGTTCCCCACAGAGGCATGTAGAGGTCAAATGTCAAAAATGGACTTCAGGAGGCAGAGTTTCATGTACCAAACCTGAGCATTGTCTGTTTATCAAACAGAGCTCAGCGTTACAGTGGACCTCAGTCTAGACGCTGTTGAAATCACTACCAAAGGGTTTCCAGCAGGCCTTACAACACCTCCACTCGGGTCATGGAATGTTCTCTCAGGCTCAGAGCAGAGACGCTGTGTGTGTGTGTGTGTGTGTGCGTGCGTGCGTGCGTGCGTGCGTGCGTGCGTGCGTGCGTGCGTGCGTGCGTGTGTGTGTGAGCACCATCCTGCATCTGCACTGAAGAAACTGAAACGTTGACTTCAATTAAATGTATTATGTCAACAGATTTCACATAAGTGTATTAGGTTAGTTGAAAGCAATACAGTGAGTTGAACCTAATCTTTTTTATCTAAACTTAATATTATTGCTTTCAACTAACCTAATACTCAGTTACTCAGAAATGTAGCTGTATTATGAAACGGCTGGGTGCGTGCAGGGCCAGCTTCTGACAGAAACACCATGGAATAAATCTTAGGAAGTGACTGTGAAGTAACACAGAGAGCAAGGGGTTGGGGGGGGCACACTCAGATCCGGCTGCTCCATGAATTCAGTGAGTGAGGATCTGATGGCAGAAGGGTATTAATATATTTTGAGGGTGTACAAAGAAATTAGAATTTGCATGAAACAAAAGCTAACAGCCACAACGTCTCCTACATTATGGGACAGTAGTTGCTAACAGTGCTTTGAATAGAGGTCCACTTACTATGGAAAGTCTGCATCATCAGGCCGCAGCTGTATCTCATTATTCATGGAATGCAGGGCTTTAGTAAGAAAAGGCTGTGCAGAATATGGGCTGGCTTTCTCAAATCCTTCTCCCCCCCACTCTCCCCTCTCAGCTGAGCTCCTTCAGCGATGCCACAGTCCCCTCTGAGACGATGAGAACACACACCCGCGGGGCCCCCACAGTCTTCTTCATAAGTCTGCTGTGGCCCCTGCTCGCCGTGCTGGACGTGGGGGCGGCGGCGGAAGTGGACCCCAGCGAAGAAATCCCCTTCATGGGGGGGAACTACAATGGTCACCCGATGCTGTACTTCAGCCGGGGGGAGGTGGAGGAGCTGCAGTACGCGGCGGGGGGGACTCACAGCGACATGGCGAGAAGGATCCGTGAGGCGGGGGAGACCATGCTGGAACGCCCGGAGCTGTACCTGCCCCCCTGGAGCCCCGCCGAGTTCAGCGCCCGCTGGAACGAGCTGTACGGGAACAACTTGGGGGTGCTGTCCATGTTCTGCCTGCTCTACCCCCACCGGGCGGGGGCCCTCAACCTCGCCAAGGACTACATGGAGAGGATGGCGGCTCAGCCTAGTTGGTAGATTTTTTGTCTTTTTATCATCATCTCTTGTACTTCAGATTTGAGGCCTTTTGCAAACATATGTATACATCTGACCCCCCCCCCCCCTTAGTTGACTTATACTAATTAATGATATATTATGTCAACAGATTTCACAAAAAGCAATACTATTTCGTTAAAGTAAAATACATTAGGTTTAACTTAATATCATTGTTCCTCTGTGGGCTCTGGTAAAGATGCATTGTGGTCTGACAAGTCTGTGCTTCAGGAAATATGTTTAGCAGCTGTTTGCTGAACATGAAAGGAAATGAAATGTTCAGATGTGAGCTGAATAGCGCTCTGCAGGGCCGCCTGACACTGAGCTCAGGTCCAGGCGACGCCTCTAACGGTTTAAAATATATGGAAAACCTGCTGCTCAGATCCCTTTCTCAAAATGTCAAAGCACATCTAGATATTTATAGAGGCATTAAGCCAGCATAAGACTCATTCATTTAAAAGAAAATGAACACCTGAAATCACAGCTGACTGCAGGAGGCAGGAGAACCATTATAACGTTTGACTGCAGCACGATGATTGGCTGCTGTGGTGAAATGTAATTGGTTAAAAGAGGATGCCCATGATGAGCTGGGTGATGCAGCTGAGGAGAGAATGAACGCATGCCCAGCGTTCCTGCTTGACTGCAAAGAGGAGCCACTGAGCTGTGGTCTCACGTCTGCAGAGCGCTGAGAGTTCTCTCCTCTGTCATTCTAGCCCCTGAGCCTCTGAAGGCTCAGTGGTCACTCCGCTGTGGCTCCATGACCTTCGATTATCACTCCGACAACTTCAGGAACCATGTTCTGATGGGGAACTTCTACTTAGTGCATGCTCCTTTCTACACAATGTGCAAATAATACAGAAGTGAGATTTGGTTTGCTTTGTCATCATTTTATAACTGACACCATTACTAATATAGAAGTCACCCAGTTAGTGTTCCTTTGCATAAGCAGACAGGAAGTGGTTTTTGATAGCCCTCAGCTGAAACTGCCACTCTTTTATTGTCTGCTTTATTTACAACACACTTTAGAAGTACATAGTCTTTGGGTTTTAAATATACAGAATATGATCAAAAAGGATACTGTATAGTAGATAGGTATACAGGGAAACTGAAACTGGAAATAATTCACAAATGGTGTCCCAACTTGTGCTTCTGACGTACATAAAGAGGAAATCATAAACTAATTGATGTTACGATAAACATCAAATAAACCCCGCTTCTTTAAAACCGCTTTGAAAGAAAGCTTGAGTGAACAGAGGCTGACGGGATCCTTTGAAACACAGCAGTTTGTTTCATCACTACATCTGAAGTGAGCAGAATGCTTCCAGAACATTGCATTACATTACATTGCATTTAGCTGACGCTTTTATCCAAAGCGACTTACAATAAGTACATTCAACCGGGAAGATACAACCTTGAAGAAAACAGAATCATATAAGTACATCAGGTTTCATAGAGCCAAACATTTCAAGTGCTACTCAACTGGCTTTAGATAAGCCAGTCCTTTATTAGTATATAAGTGCTTTGTTAGTAATTCTATCGCTCGAAGTGCAGTCAAAAGAGATGAGTTTTCAGTCTGCGCCGGAAGATGTGTAGGCTATCTGCTGTCCTGATTTCAATAGGGAGCTCATTCCACCATTTTGGAGCCAGGATAGCAAACCCACGAGTTTTTGCTGATGGGAACTTGGGTCCCCCTGCAGACTGCCAAGGCACAC